CGATTTGTGTCGCACGACACGGGGACGTTTGATTATTAAAAAACACGCGGAGTGAACTCGGTCTCTCTCGCTCACTGATATAGACTTCGGCACATCAGACAGGGATTAGGAGGAAGGGAGTTCAACAGCAGGTGTGTTGGCTGGAGCTGATAAAGAGAAAGACGTGTCACATCATCACAATTATGCAGCGTTTTAACCATCTAATGCTTATTTTATGTTTTAGATAAACATCTACATGTAAATACAAACAAGCACTAGTAAAACAAGACTTTTAGAGTTTGTGAAATACACAAGAAAGTCTATGGAAGTCTCACAATCCATTCAAATATAAATTGCTGATGTGTTTTATTCATATCAGATATGCATGGTGAAAGTAACTATAAAGTTGAATCTATTCTTCTCTTAGTTCACCAGACACTCACTTGCATGTATTCTGAGAATAACTGGTGAATTTACATGCTGAATCCTGCGTGTTCTACTGTTATGAATGAGGCAAATGATCGACTGCAAGTAAACATGGCACTTTGACTTACAGAGCTCTTTTGGAGGTTCTGATGACCGCTGATAGTCTGATGAGACACTCGTCTGATCTCTGGAATTTCTGAAGCTCAAACTCCTCCAGCTCCTCCTCTGAGGTCAACAACACAAAGACCACAGCAGACCACTGGGCAGGTGAAAGGTCAGCAGATGACAGACTTCCACTACTGAGGTGAGACTGAATCTCTTTCAGCAGAGTTTGATCGTTCAGTTCATTCAGACAGTAGAACAGATTGATGGATCTCTCTGGAGACAGATTCCCTTCAAGTTTCTGCTTGATGTAGGCAATTATTTCCTCTTTGCTCTGGTCTCTGTCATCCTGCTGTGTCAACAGGCCTCGTAAGAGTTGGCGATTGGACTGGAGAGACAGACCGAGAAGGAAGCGAAGGTAAAGGTCCAGATGTCCATTCTCACTTTCCAGAGCCTTGTCCACTGCAGCCTTTAGGAAATCAATCATGCCTTTATTTTTGCTTTTCTGTCTAAAAATAAATCCATGCTTCCTCTCGCTGTGCAGATGTTGATAAAGGGCTGCAATGAACTCCTGAATGCTCAAGTGAAGAAAGCAGTACATGGTGCCAAGAATGATTCCCATCTCCTCCTTAAAGATCTGGGTACACATGCCTGAGTACACCGATGCCTTATAGACGTCAATGCCACAGTCTTTCAGATCGCTCTCATAGAAGATCACATTGTTTCTGTCCAGCTGCTGGAAGGCCAGTTTCCCCAGTGAAAAGATGAGCTTTGGATCCCAGGAGACATCTGGTGTGTTTTCTCCATCATACTTTCTTCTGCTCTGCTGGATCTGAAAGCGGAGAAAGTGTGTGTACATCTGTGTCAGAGTCTTGGGAGATTCCTGCAGTGTTTCAGCATGAGCCCTGTGTTTCAGTTTCAGTATGTTCTGGAGAACAGTGGCTGAAATCCAGCAGAAGACTGGGATGTGGCACATAATAAACAGACTCTTTGACTGTTTAATGTGATCAATGATTTCTCTGGCCTGATTCTGATCTGTGAGTCTCTTTCTGAAGTACTCCTCCTTTTGGGCATCATTGAATCCTCGTATCTCTGTCAGCCTGTCAATACAGTCAGCAGGAATCTTACTAGCAGCTGCTGGTCTACTGGTGATCCAGATGAGAGCAGAAGGAAGCAGATTTCCCTTGATGAGGTTCGTCAGGAGAACATCCAGAGAGACTGCTGAAGATACATCACGACACGTCTTATTACCAGCAAAGTTCAGAGGAAGACGACATTCATCCAATCCATCAAGGATGAACAGGACTTTGAATCGTGTGCTTCTTGTAAGGTTCAGTCCTTTAGTCTCTGGGAAAAACTGAGTTATGAGGTCTTTTAAACTTTGTCTTTCTTTCTCCTTTAAGTTCATCTCTCTGAATGGAAGAGGAAATATGAAGCTGATGTCTTGATTTTCTTTCCCTTCAGCCCAATCCAGAACAAACTTTTGCACAGAGACTGATTTCCCGATGCCAGCAACTCCTTTTGTCAGGACAGTTCTGATCTGCTCGTTTTGTTCAGCTGCTTCAAACAAATGTTTGCATTCAACCTGTATCTCTAGTGACTGATGACGTCTGGAAGCAGCTTCAATCTGTCTGATCTCATGTTCAGTGTTGACCTGTTCACTCGCACCCTGAGTGATATAGAGATCTGTGTAGATGTTATTCAGAAGTGTGGAGTCTCCTTGCTGAGCAATTCCTTCAAACACACTTTGATATTTCTTCTTCAGGCTACATTTAAGCTGATTATTTAAGAACAGCTCACCTAAACACAGGAGCAAAGAAACAGAGAGATTTAGTCTTGACTTTTCCAGCTATATTAGTAAGTGTCAGTCTGACAGATACCCATGAGTCTCTTACCCTGGAGAGTATCAGCAGCTTGATCTTGCTTCATCTCTCTCAGGAAGAAGAGTGAGAGATCAAGAGCTGCTTCTGTGATAAGGCTTCTGTTCTCATTAAACTCTAATATAAACTCTTGTCTGTTTTTGTGTTGTAAGATTTTCCTAAAGTTTTCCAGTTGATTGTTCAGAAATCTGATAATTTTGCTCTCAAGATTCTATGATTGAAGAAAAGAGAAGAACAATGTTTAAATAAAACATTCATTAACATACAGTTGTATGTCCACAAACTACTCAATAAAGACAAAAAGACATTATAATATGAGTCTGTTGAACGCTTGATTCTGATTGGCTGATAAACTTTGTAAGGTGTTGTTATTTTCAGATAAACACACAGCTAAAGCAGAATTGGCAGGTTTTGAGCACATAACAGTTCCATATCTACACTGAATGATTTCAGTAACTTCACAGTCAAACATCACATCAAAACACACAGAAAGCTTTGGATTTGTAAGAAACTAGTTTCACACACAGGAGAAGTTTGAGGACAAAAACCTGACAAATGTCTGGAACACAACATGGCGGATTTAGCTGTGGGAACATCAGCATCCCAGCAAACATATTTCAATTATTACATTTAGATTTAAAAGAAGTCTAATAGATGTTTAACAACAGCCCCAAACTAGACTAGTCTCTAGACAACTAGACAATCTCATGGACAACAAGCAATCCGGCTTTAAGAAAGGCCACTCAACTGAGACTGCCCTGCTCTTGGTTGTGGAGGATCTCAGATTGGCTAAAGCAGACTCAAAATCATCAGTCCTCATCTTGCTGGACTTGTCAGCTGCTTTTGACCCTGTCAACCACCAGATCCTGCCATCTACGCTCGAGTCACTGGGCGTTGCGGGCACTGTTATACAGTGTTCAGATCTTACCTCTCTGACAGGTCATTCAGGGTGTCTTGGAGGGGAGAGGTGTCCAACCTACAGCATCTAAACACTGGGGTACCTCAAGGCTCTGTTCTTGGGCCACTTCTCTTCTCCATCTACACGACATCTCTAGGACAGTCATTCAGAAACATGGATTCTCCTACCACTGCTATGCTGATGATACCCAGCTATACCTCTCTTTTCATCCTGATGATCCCTCGGTTCCAGCTCGCATCTCAGCCTGCCTGTTGGACATTTCACACTGGATGAAAGATCATCATCTTCAGCTGAACCTCGCAAAAACAGAAATGCTTGTAGTTTCTGCCAACCCGACTCTACACCATAACTTTTCAATCCAGATGGATGGGGCAACAATTACTGCATCCAAAATGGTGAAAAGCCTTGGAGTAACGATTGATGACCAACTAAACTTCTCTGACCACATTTCTAGAACTGCTCGATCGTGCAGATTCGCACTCTATAACATCAGAAAGATCCGACCCTTCTTATCTGAACATGCAGCTCAACTCCTTGTTCAAGCTCTTGTTCGCTCCAAACTGGATTACTGCAACTCTCTACTAGCTGGGCTTCCAGCTAACTCTATCAAGCCTCTTCAACTGCTCCAGAACGCAGCAGCACGAGTGGTCTTCAATGAACCTAAACGAGCACATGTCACTCCGCTGCTAGTCCGTTTGCACTGACTGCCAGTTGCTGCTCGCATCAAATTCAAAGCTCTGATGTTTGCCTACAAAGTGACTTCTGGCCTTGCTCCTTCTTATCTGCTCTCACTTCTGCAGATCTATGTGCCCTCCAGAAACTTGCGTTCTGTGAATGAACGTCGCCTCGTGGTTCCATCCCAAAGAGGGAAGAAATCACTTTCTCGAACGCTCACGCTCAATCTGCCCAGTTGGTGGAATGAACTCCCTAACTGCATCAGAACAGCAGAGTCACTCGCTATTTCCAAGAAACCACTAAAAACTCAACTATTTAGTCTCCACTTCACTTCCTAATCTGCAATTGCCTCTCTGGATATCACACTAACTTACCCCCCCCCCCCAAAAAAAAAAGTACTAATACTTTCCTTCTTAGACTTTACAGACCTGAAACTTGTCTATAGCACTTATTCATTGTTGCTCTTATAGTTGTGTAAGTTGCTTCCTTGTCCTCATTTGTAAGTCGCTTTGGATAAAAGCGTCTGCTAAATGACTAAATGTAAATGTAAATGTAGTCATCAGATATGCAGCAGTGTGAATCTGTCTAATCTGCATTTGATGACTAGTCTAGTTCTGGACATTAGTTAGATGTTTATTAGATTTTTAGGTTTATCAGCTTAAATTTAGCTTTTTTTGGTCTGGCTATCATTGTTCAGACATCTATTAAAAATTGCAGAATAATCCACTCTGGTCTGTTGAATTATTAGAAAATAATACACGCTAAATGTGTAATGGCGACTTTATGTGCATCACAGGAGTGAACAATTTTTGAGTAATTCAATGAACTGCAGTCAATTATTCCTCACTTGACAAATACTTCTTAATTCTTAACATCTTTAATTACGTCAAAAATAACAGTTACAAATTAAATGTGTTACAGAAGCAGGATCTTTTCCAGTAAACATTTTGTGTGTTATATTTAAAATTAAAATATGAATCTAAATGAGTTTTTCCCACCTGGAAGATCCACTGGAGATTGTCTGAATAAGAAACTAAATCTGCCTCTAGGTGTCTGTAAATGAGTCAAAGTCATTAAGTCATTCACAAAACTGATTCATTCAGAAATAATTATCTTTACTGAATTGTTGGTTCACAATAATATGCCTGAAACAATCCATGTGTGTTCAATAATGTAAAACACTAAATACCTTTTAACTGATGATGGTGTTTTCTCACTGAGGTCTGGAGGAGGACCACCTTTTGAGCAGTCACTCTTCAGAGACACAGAGCTGGACACACATGATCCTGATCTCACACTGAACACACAAACACACCAGAGGAATAAACTGCAGGAGATACTTCAGTCTCCTTTAAAGGTGTTTTAAGACTGACAGAAAACAAAATCACTGGAAAAAACAAAAAACATTTCACACCCTGCACAAAACTAGCACAAAGTAACTTTTAGCTCAAGGTCTGGCTGATCAGGGGCCTCATGTATCAACACTGCGTACGCACAAAAGCTTTGCGTACACCAGGTTTCATGCTCAGAATCGCTCACGTTTGGATTTACTAAAGATGAACTGAACGTGGGAATGTGCGCAGCTTCACGGCAGCTTTATGGCTGGCGTACGCACATTTTTTGTGCGTGTCTGTTTTATTTCCATTGGCGACTCCTAGAGGCAGTTGTGTTAAATTGCTCTCTACAAAGTGTCTGAGCCTTGCAATGGCAGCTGTATGAGACGGGTTCATCTAGCAGGTATATAAGGTTTCCATACCATACAGTTGACCAGCCAAACATTAAAGCACAATTTGCAGCGGTCGCCTGTTTTCCCAATGTAATCTGAGCAATCTACTGCACACACATTGCTATAAAGACACTATCTGAAGATGAATTTGCATGCGTGAATCAGAAACATTTGCATTCAATAAATTTGCAAATAAAATATGACGCACAGACTTATGATTCCTACTTGACTTTCTCGTGATAAATAGTAGTCAAAATCTGATATGTAGCGGGGAAAAAAAGAAGAAAGAGTTCATCAGACGCTGGATTCGAACCGAGTTCATGCTTGAATGTGTCAAAACATGTTATCATGCATTTTACGAGCTGCGCCACTGAGACTGTTATGGGTGCTACAACATTTTACACCTATAAATCACACTATTTCTTTCTTTAATCCACTCAGTGCAATGTTCAGACCCAACTATGTTAACCGCATCAGCTAAACTCTCCCACTCTATTTTTTTCTTTTGTTGTTAATTCCGGAGGACAAACTTGCAAATAACACCGCTTTTCTCCGGTCTACCTCCGAAAGCAGCAGCTTCAGTTCACATTCTGTTCAAAGTTTCTCTTTTTGCTTGATTTTGCCGTTTCTTTTTCGTTGGGCTTTGCCAAAGTACAGTCATTAGCATATTCATACGGGGGAGGAGGCAGGGTTGGGTTTTGTGCTCGTGCATGTTGCGCTCAGTTTCACGTTCATTCGGATGCACAAAAGAATATGCGTGAGATTCGGCGTATGCAGTGTTTCATACATCTGAATTTTTTTCTGCGTACGCACATTTACAGCTTTGTGCGTACGCAATGTTTTAGTATGATTTCCACGCAAGTCTTCGTACATGAGGCCTCAGGTCTGTTAAACACATTAGACTTACAGTGTGTACAGAAAGTATTCAGACCCACTCTTTGTTCTATTGTGGTCATTTGCTTAAATCATTTAAGTTCATTGTTTCCTCATAAATGTCCACACAGCAGCCCATACTGACAGAACAACACTGAACTGTAGACGTTTTTGCAGATTTATTAATTAAGAAAAGCTGAAATATCACATGGTTCAGACCCTTTGCTGTGAACTCAGCTGCTGTCCATTTCTTCTGATCCTCCTTGAGATGGTCCTTCACCTTTAGTTGACACACCTGTCTATATAAGAGCTTACAGCTCACAATACATCTCAGAGCCAATGAGAATCATGAGGTCAAAGGAACTGCCTGAACAGCTCATAGACTGAATTGTGGCAAGACACAGATCTGGTCAAGGTTACAGAAACATTTCTGCTGCACCGAAGGTTCCTAAGAACACAGTGGTCCCATAATCCTTTAATAGAAGATGTGTGAGACGACCAAACATTTTCTAGAACTAGCTAAACTGAGCTGTCAATAGATCTGTCAAATGCTCTGATCCACTGATTTACAACAAAATAAATGTAAAGGTATTGAAGCTTCATGAAGCAGCGCTCCAAAATCAGCCATCAGCTCTGTTTACTGGAGTACTCTTGTGGATTAGCGGTGTGTTACTCGTTCATGTACACTCAGAGCGTGTTTTGCTGGTTTGTGTTTTAATCTTCTGTGTTTATTGTTAGCTGTCTGGATATTGGATTACTCTTTGTGGATTACCCTTGATTATGATTGATTGCTTGTCTTGTCCCCTTGTCTGTATAAAAGATACTCTAAATAAGAAACTAAAACCATCTCTAGGTGTCTGTAAATGTCTAAATTCACCAAAAGTCATTGAGTCATTTGATTGATGATTAATCCAAACAACTGATTAATTTACTAATGACTCTATTTTCTGGATTGTTGGTTCACAATAACATGTTCAATACAGTCCATGTGTGTTCAATAATGTAAAACACTAAATACCTTTTAACTGATGATGGTGTTTTCTCACTGAGGTCTGGAGGAGGACCACCTTTTGAGCAGTCACTCTTCAGAGACACAGAGCTGGACACACATGATCCTGATCTCACACTGAACACACAAACACACCAGAGGAATAAACTGCAGGAAAAACTTCAGCCTCCTTTACAAGAGTTTATCAGACAAATATGAGTTTGTTCAGATTAATTCAGCATAAACTAATAGTTGACTGAAGGTCTGTCTGTTGTTATGTTAAAATAATGGTGTAAAAACAGAGTCAATACCCGTGTTTCTCTGAGAGAGCGTCCTTTACTCGCTCCTCTGCCATACTGCAGCTAAAACACCAATGCAGACATTAGCAGAGCTTTCAGGAAACTACCAGCCGCTGACCATCACCTGGAGATGACAATATACTGAGATGAAGAACAGCACACTTTATAGCAATCAATGCTCACTTCACTAACAACACCACACTCAAACAGACCACATGATGAGGGATAAAACTGTTATATAGTTTTCATTATTTCACATCATTCAAAGCACTCCACATGATCCAGTCTAGGGCAAACCCAAAACATGTCACTCAAATTAGCTGGTTTCAAGCCACATCTAGGGCAACTACCTCTAATTTTATAATATGTGTATACCTGAAATGAGCTGATCTGCACAGATATATCACCCTAAAGACAAACACAACTGACCTTGATGTAGTAATAGCATTATGGATGCTATCTTCACTAACACACTAAATATTGCTGACCTCGTCAAATCAAGAGAAAATAAAACTACACCATGGTATAACAATCATACTCACACTCTAAAAACAGCAACTTGTACCCTTGAACATGAGTGGAAAACACTAAATTAGAGGTCTGTAGAATTGTGTCCAAAGATACTATGTCCAGCTACAGGAGGGCTCTAAAATCCTATTTTAAGATTCTTATTTATTAATGTTTCTAAACTAGCCAATAAATGGTTATTTTCTGAAGAAAATGTCGAACTGCAAATTAGTAGTGATGACTTTTTTCAGTGAAAAAAATATTTTTCAGCGTTAAAATATAAAGCTTTTGGCAGATAAAAGATGTCTAACTTTCTGCACTTCTTTTTTCACATCTGCAGCGAGAAACTGGCATGAATATGATTCTCCTGACTGTGGGTGAGTCCTCAAGACAACACCCAAACCACTGGAACTTAAAATATTCACACAGTTTAACTGAGCACAAGTTTGTTAATAGATTATTTCAAGAAGATTAAAATGTATTTGAGATTAAATCTGAGAAGTTTCTTAAAAAATACTTCAAGTTATTTTGGACCTATAAAATAAGATTATATAGTTTGTAAAGATAACCTCAGCTTTAGCCCATTATTTATCATTATTATCATTATTATTATTATTTAGTTAGTTAGTTAATTAGTACTAAAATGTCAGCTGAAAACTAAGGGTTAAATCCAGTGTACGGAACATCAGCTTGTTGTTTTTCAGCAGAGTTTTTTCCTGTTCAACTGGAAGGACTGGTTTAACTTTACTTTTGAGTTCGAGACTCTCTGTGTTAAGAGTTATATTTTTTACTGAATAATCTGAAATGATCAACTCATACTAATATAGAAGAGTACACACATTTTCATGGGAATAACATTTGTTTGACACAGTGTTTAAATTACTGTTTTGACACCATGTTTAATCTGTGTTTGAGGATTTGATCTTCAGGATCAGACATTCAAATCACACTCACACATATAAACCCCTTCATCATCTCCACAAATCAGCGTAATGTAGAAGTGTTAAACTCACATGCAGAAGTACAGACGCTCTTGTGCAGCAGGAACACAATCTGAGCTCTTTCACTCTTTCACTTCACTAAAACACACCTGTGTGATCTACAGGTAGATCTTGCAATATTATTGGCTCCACTGTGTGGTGGTGTGATTCATGAGATTCTACTGACTGTGGGCAACACACAAACCACTGGAGCTGAAGATATCTTGGTAGTTTCTCAGAGCAAAAGTGTGTTAATAGAATATTTTTTAGAATGAAAAAGCATTTAAGATTAAATCTGAGAGGTCTCTAAAGAATAAGTAAAGCTGTATTGGACCTATAAAATAAAATTATATACAGATGAAGTCAGAATTATTCGCCCCCCTGTTTATTCTTTTCCCCACAATTTGTTTAACGGAGACCAGATTTCTTCAACACATTTCTAATCAAAATAGTTTTAATAACTCATCTCTAATAACTGATTTATGTTATCTTTGCCATGATGACAGTAAATAGCATTTGGCTATATATTTTTCCATTTTATTATTTTATTTATTATATTATTACATTTAAAGGCTTAACTAGGTTAATTAGGTTAACTAGGCAGGCTAGGGTAATTAGGCAAGTTATTGTATAGCGATGGTTTGTTCTGTAGACTATCGAGAAAAAATATAGCTTAAAGGAGTTAATAATATTGACCTTAAAATGGTTTATAAAAAATAAAATCTTCTTAATTTTTATTAAAATATGCTTATAATCTGCTTTTATTCTAGCCGAAATAAAACTAATAAGACTTTCTCCAGAAGGAAAAAAAATATTAAACATACTGTGAACATTTCCTCAATCTGTTCAACATCACTTGGAGAATATTTCAAAAAGAAAAAAAAATTAAAGGGTGGTTAATAATTCAGACTTTAACTGTATATTGTCAAGATAACAAAGTTTAGCCAATTTATTTTGTTTTAAATTGTTATTTATTGAGTTAGCACTAAAGTCAGCTGTCAGTTGAGGGTTAAATGCAGTTTCTGTAAGGATCATCAGCTTGTTGTTTTTCAGCAGTTTCTTCCTGATCAACTGGAAGGTCTGGTTTAACTTTACTTTTAAGTTCGAGACGCTCTATGTTAAGAGTTATATTTTTCACTGAATGATCTGAAAGACTGATATAGAAAAGTACACATATTTTTAAGGGATTAAAAAGTATACTTTAGACATTGTATTTGATGATGTTTTAACATTGTGTTTAAATGGTATTTGAGGCTGACAACTTCAGGATCAGACAGACATTTAAATCCCAAAAAACTCCTCATCATTTCCAAGAGTTCACACTTAGTTGATGATTGATAATACAGCTTGTTTGGCATGCTGTCCCAGGAGAGAGCCCTGAACCTATGAGATCCTCGAGCCTTGGGCTCCCTCCCATTTGCAGGATGAGAGCGGAGTTTGAGCTCAGGTAGATCTCGATGAACTCCCCGGGGCTTGGCTGTGGTATCAACTTAGTATGTTCAATTTACTTACACTGCATGTTTTTGAACTGTATGAGGAAACTGGAGAGCCCAGGGAAAACCCACACAAGCATGGGGAGAATGAGCTAACTCTGCACAGAAATGTTAACTGGTTTAGTAGCGATTTTAACCAGAGATATTCTTGCTGTAAGGCAACAGTGCTGATCACTGTGCTGTCAACCATCTGGAAAGGAGGAGGAGTAGGGGTGGGTAGGGGGATTTTTCAAGATGAAGATACTGATTTAAGAAAAGCTGGTTATTTATAGTGAGTTAGGAATCATCTAACAATGCCGTGAACAGTCATAATCATTTGATCTTCTCAAAATTAGTTTATAAATAAACTTTACTAAAATCTTATCTATGCCAGCAGGCCATAAGTCCGTCTCACTATTACTGTCTTCCAGCCTTTCAGAGCACAAACACCACAAGTGTTGTTCCACACAAGTTGCAAAACTAGCTAGCTAGTACCAGCCGACAATTACAAGAACTAAAGCCTTTTTATATGGAGTTATTACAGAAACGTGTCAGAGGGATAAAGAGTGTGTTTTCTATAGGTGGTTTGTACAGCCCAGTCACCTGTGCGAGGCACACTCAAAATTGATGTATTGGGGTTGTTGTGTGGTGAAGTGGGGAGAGAGGAGGGGGCCCTTATTTTTTGTTCAGGTGATCTCGGAAGAGATTGGTTTTTACTTGTTGTTTTAATACCAGTAAATCTGCAGACTGTGTGGGAATATTGAAGGAAGAGGTTTTGTAAAGTGACTTATAGCCTCTTTGTGATGGTACCACAAGGTAGTGCTCACTCACTAATCAAAGGCCCCTGGATGGTATGTAGACCTTCAGCAGCAGGTGGAGGTAAGAGGATGCAGTGCCAGTGGCTGTCCTTTAAGCGAGCATCAGTGATTTGAACTTGACACAATCCTCTACTGGTAACCAATGCAGAGAGGTAATGAGAGGTGGTACAATTCAGTCGGGCTCACTGAAGACCTGATGAAGAATCTGATGATTCACCATATCCAAAGCAGCAGACGGGTCCAGTAAAAGCAGAAATTATTATTTAGAATCTGCTTGGGCAATGAGGTTACCCAGGCCTGCTTAGAGATGGTTGGGAATGTGCCAGAGTGGAGTGAAGTGTTTATAGTGTGGGTTAGGGGCGGCACTATGGTTAGGGAAATGTTCTGGAGGATGTGTGAGAGAACTGGATCCAGAGGTGGAAACAAAATGCAATGTCCCTACAATGTTGGGGTACAGCGTCAATCTAACGTCATGTTGATGTCTTGTGTCCGCTGGGTGTTGAAGGCCATTTGGGTCATCATACCGCAATCATCCGCCATCTTCTCATCAGTGACATCATCTAAACAGTCTCTGGGTCAATGCGTGTAAAGATTTTGGACATCTTCTTGGACAATTTTAATGCTTCCAAATAGTTTGATGTAATTCTAAATCGCCCTTGTCTTGAGGGAGTTCATTATGATGTGATTTACCTTCTATATGTGATCTGATTGGACTGGATATCCCCCATAAACAAAATAAAATAATGTAGTGATTGCAGTTTAAAGGACAGTTGTGGAGTAAAAGTACCGATACTGCACTAAACATGTACTCAAGGTAAAGTACATATATATAAAACAACTAAGCAAATTACAATATTTTGAGAAAAAATACTTACAGTAGTTTAATTACAGTAGTTTGAGTATTTGTAATTGTTTACTTTACATCACTGGTTGTGACAGGATTTTATAGATTTCTAAGCTCATATGACTGTATGGAGCAGGAGGTACGGCAGACCTTTTAATTTCTGGTTAATCACTAGAGTAGCAAGTTGTGTGGAAATAACTAAATAAACTTAGTACAAGTGAGCAGGAGGCAACCAGACTATGATGTATTAGTTACCTCTGCATCCTCTGACTAACTTCAGAACATTGAGATCAAATCTGTGACAAACACGTAAACCCTGGA